GAACCCTCCAGCTCTGGGGGCTCCAGCCTGAGTGCAGCCCTGCCTGCAGCAGAGGGCAGCCGACGCGTGGCTGGGGAGAGGCCAGCAGCAGCAGCAGATGGCCACTGAGCAGGCTTGTCACAAGGGAGCATTTAATGCCAAAGAAGCTCAAAAGCCATAGCTGGCTATATTTTACATCTTGGTTTTGCACCTATCCTTGTCTTGTTTCTTTTTACGTGTCCCTTCTCCTTTCCTGCTCCCTTCTCCCATACTTGAAGAACCCTCCAGCTCTGGGGGCTCCAGCCTGAGTGCAGCCCTGCCTGCAGCAGAGGGCAGCCGACACGCAGCTGGGGAGAGGCCAGCAGCAGCAGCAGATGGCCACTGAGCGGGCTTGTCACAAGGGAGTATTTCGTGCCAAAGCAGCTCAAAAGCCATAGCTGGCTATATTTTATATCTTGGTTTTGCACCTATCCTTGTCTTTGTCTTGTTTCTTTTTATCCCCCCCAGCCCTTCTCCCCCTTGGCATTACCTCTTATCCACTGAGCAACTTATCTAATCTCTTCCAACAGTCCTGTATTTGCCCAGGGTTTTTTAGAGAGCCTGGCTGAAAGCAGCAGGGAGTAATATTGCAGGAAATGCGTTTCTAAACCCCGAAGGGCATTATATTTTACAGGTCTAGAAGAATAAGCCAAGGTTTCAACTAGGTTCTTCACCACAGTAGCCAGTGCCTGTCTCAAAGGAAATGGGAAGAAGTTTGGAAGCCACCCATCGCTGCTGCACCCTTGCAGGGAGAGTGCAGATGAGCACGGGGACATTCTCAGGCTGATCCTTCAGAGACAACACTTGCACTTCTGCTGGATTCTCAGAGTTAGGGACACTCAAAGCTCCTGAAAAACCAGCCCGGAACTGCCAGAGAGGTTTGGAAATCACCATCTTTCCACCCAAGGGTTGCAGTTTGAGGGTGTCATGCCTAAAACTTCACCTTCACTCCAGGCCTAACAGCATTCTCCCTCCTAAAGGCTGTTCAATACCTGAACCTTCCTCATTTTCAGAGACCCTAAGAGGTATTTAACGTACATAAGGTTGTACAAAAACATTCACGTGGCCAAACAGTGGTTTGTGTGTCATTTTACACCTGGGCCTCAGTGCGGCGTTGTCTGCCAGAGGTGGACTCTCTCCTCTGCTCCCAAACAGCTTTCGGACTCCGATGGGAAAGTCAACACTTGAGTCACTCGGACAAGGAACAGCCTGGAGTTCTGACAGCTCACTGGAGTAAATAAGGTGCCTTTCTGGCAAGCTTCTTGCAAAACCTGGCATCAGTATATGCCACTATCTCAGTTTTTAGACACACCTTTGAATGGCAAAGAAATCAGAAGACTGAAAAAAAATGCAACCACATCTCCACAAAAGAAACCTGAAAAAACACCACCAACAAAAAGAACCAACCGCCTAAAACAAAACTAACCACACGGAAAGACCATCCTCTCCCCCCCCCCTTTTTCAAAGGGCTTATTATTGTGAATAAAAATACAATGTGGTGATTATGCAGACACTTGGCAGAGACAGCGGCCAGTGTTTGTGTAGGAAAATAGCAGTAAGTGTAGAGTCGTGGTTAATCGTGTAGAGACACGACCCTTCGTCCCTTTTCAGTGGCTTTAAGGGATTCTGCTGTGTTTAAGGAATTTTTTGCTTCAGTGCAGTTATCTATTGAAATTGCCTTTTAGTGCTAGAAGAAACTGGCTGTTGGAGCTTTCAGCCCCCATTCCTGGCAGCAGCAGCAGCTTAGCTTTCTGATTTGATGGCTTGCCTTTGTCTTACTGCTGCAGCATTTCCCCCCCTCACCACCTCCCC